TTAATCCTTTTTCATTTTTCTATATGTGGAAAGATTTCCGAAATTGGTTTTCAAAGAAAAGAAATGCAAATTAGCATAGAATGAACAGTGTTAATGCCACTTTCATAAAGCCTTTTTGGAGTATTAGCTAGTGTCTCCCTCAGAGGGCCCTGTTGGAACTTTGAGCGGTGCTGGCTGACCCTGAAGGGAGGTTCTAGTGTCTCCCTCAGAGGGGCCCGTTGGAACTTTGAGCCGTGCTGGCTGAGCCTGAAGGGATGTTCTGCATGTCTTGTCCCTCCCACTTTGCCCATAATGCCCTGCCCCCAGTCGTCGTGGCAACACCACATATTTCCTCGCCCCTCCGCTGTAGTACTGTCTCGTGAAAACCACTGAATTAGTTAATGCACTGAGGGAAACCACAGTCATTAATTTTTTTGAAAACATTATTTGAGGAGGATTTCAGTTTTCGTTGAATTCACAGATACCTCGGGTTAAAAGCAACACTTTTACAAAGGATATGTTATCCTAAGAAGACAGACTTATACTTAATTTGATGTAGATTGATCTGAAAATAGCAGTAATTAAAATTAACTCTTATTCGGGGGAGAAACTGCTTAATGAGTCTAGGTTTTCCTTTTGGAGTGGTGGAAATGTTCTGGAACAAGATATGGGTGCTGGTTGCACAACATCGTGAATGTACTAAACGCCACTGAATTGTTCACTTTAAAATTGTTATCTTAAGTTATGTGAATTTCACCTCAAATTTTTTTAAAAGTTGGGGAAAAATTTACTCTTATTCTAAATCAGTTGCTTCAATGTTAAACTCGAATTATAGATGATAAATTCCGTGTCTGTTCTGTTCGCTGAGCTATGCCGAGCTCCATGGTGCCTGGCATAGGGCGGGCACTCAGTAACGGTGTGTAGGATGAATGAATGAATTAAAGACTTAGGAAAGATTAGGATTTTTTTAAGGACTTTTCACCACTCATTTATAACTTGCTATTCCAATTACTATTCCAGTGATCAATTTAAATTTTAACTGAGGCCATATATTTAATTCAACAAATATTTGGAATCTTAAAGCCGAAAAACCTGTTACGTGTCAACTGCTGTAACTTTTAAAACATAATCTCTACACCAATTTTGTGTGGTGAAAATTATCTATAATTTACATAACATGAAACGGTTTTAAAAATCTTGTCCAAGATTACAGGAATAGGAGGTTTGGGCCCATAATCTCTCTCTCCCGAGCCATCGTACACCCTGCCTCCTCCCACAGAGGTTGAGCTTGGAGTTTTCAGGCAGGGCAATGTCAGATCCTTAGGTCTTGAGTTACTTAAGCACTGCTGAGTAAACCTCACTCATTTGACCCAACTATCTTGGGAAGTAGTTAAAAAGGATATTTGAGTTCTTAAGCAATTTGTTGGTTTGAACCTCACCCTAAAATAGCGCAGGCCCCCCCACCCCTGGGTTTCTCAGAGCCTTTGTTTATTTGCCTATCCAGCGAGATGTCTGCAGTTCGTACAGACACACCGTGAGAAATTCTAAGATACCCTACCTAATGCTGCTGAGTATGCATATCTCTACGTGGTTTTTCCCTTTTGTCACCATGAATGAGTCAAATGATGAGTAAATGGAAATTGTTTGCGGCGTATGGCTAGACATCACAGTGTTGGTCAGATAACACTTGGGCTCTGTCAGTCTGAAACTTCAGCATAAGAGCACCTGACTTATCTGGGTAGATAATTTTCCATGCAGATGAGGTTTGCCCCTTCACTTGCTAGAACTTTGTGTTTTAACCATTTTTCATGCTCGTCTTTCTGTATCAGGGTTCCATGGCTATTTTTATTAAGTGGAAGCAATAGAAGGAAATTACCCTCTCCTGGGTACTCAGAAGGGTTTTTCACTATTTCCCCGCACTGCCCTGTCTGGGTCTCTGACTGCCATGAGTTTGTATCAGGTGTCTGTTGCCCATCTCCTCTCTGGTTTGGCTGCCTGCTACAATATGGAAAACAACCAGTTGATAGAACTTGTCTGCAATTATATGGAAACAAGAGTTTAAATCTCCTTTGAGGGCCTGCACACCTGGCCTCTCAGGCCCAATGTCTGTTCATTCTGCCTTTGGAGCGCTTGCCCTCTTAGAAGTAGAGAGGTGTCATTGTATGTATATGCATTTTCCTGAATCCGGATGGACAGCTGGGTGGGTTTACCTGTCAGCGAGCTGCTCTGGTTTGATTGCTGAGAAGCTTGGATACAGTGATGATTCGGCACATTTCTGCCTGGTCAGGCTGTGGGAGTTGAAGTAGGAAGGGTCGAGGACCCTGTTATTTTGAGGACGATAATTTGGCTCCATTTGATTTTTTTCTGTAGCTTTGTTTTCTGGGTAAATCTCTATGTTCTCCTCCAGAATTTTGAACTGCTGGTTTTATTCCCACAACAGCTCTAGCGATTTTTTGGGGTATCAGAAGTGATCTGGTCTTATCACTGAGGGTAACACTCTGGAAATTCTTTTAGAGCTAATGTTTCTAGAAACTCCGTTTCTTCCCCTCTAACTTGTAAGGGGTCCAGGGCAGCAGAATTTCATGTACTTGCGTTTCCCTGCTTTTTCCTCAGTGACCCAGGAGAGTGGACCTGGGTACCCCACTTCCACTCAGTTTCTACTTTTGCCGTCAATGAAGCCGCTAGGGAAAAGAGGATAAAGAGTTAGTACACTTTGTATCCGAGGATAAGCTAAGGAGGCACTTTACAAGCTTTTTTAGTGCATTTCTCTCAAGGGTTGTTCTCAGGACTTAACATACTTAATATAAAAATCCTTTAGTTTTCCTAAGAACCAGCAGACTGTTGTATTTTTGGATTTTTATGTTTGGGCTATCGTTGACATTAACTCTAGGCTTGTCCTTGCTGTTAAGGACAATTAATTAGAATGATATATTCTTTTTAAACATTAAAAAAAGACCCCGTCTACAAAAACTACCCCCAGCCTTTTTTCCACTAACAAATGTCATATTGCTGCATTCTTGCCGTATTTGAATGTTTTTACGTAAACCACTACTGAACTGTTTCCTCCAGAATGGGTTTGTTTACTTGCGTATGTTTTCTGGGGTACAGCTGATGCCTCTGCAGCCCCATTTATGGCTCACTGAGAAGAGAGTGGGCCTCAGCTTCCAAAAGGAGGCGTTTCTGAGCTGCTCTTCCGGACCGTAGATGTTTGCTGCATGTCCATTCCTCCTTCATGAGAACATGGATTGAGCTCGGGACAGTACCACTGTGGGGTAGTCAAAAGGGCACTGGCCCCGGAATGAGGAAGCCTTAGTCAAATCCCAGGTCATCCGCCCTCCGGCAGGACAGCCTGGGCAAGTTGGTGTCTCTCGTCAGGTGTTTCTTTTTATCTCCAGCAGGAATCCAAGTCTATTCTGTCTCCCAAGGTCTGTGATTCTGGTGCAGAGTACAGGGTAGCGGGTCAAAGGAAGAAGAGGAGGTGATTAAGGGCCTGTGTCAAGAGATAGCTTCATAGAAGAGGGACTGGAATTGAGCTCTAAAGGCATCTGAGGAAGGAGGTGGGGTGGGGGCCTGTGTAAGAGAGTGCACGCAAAGAAACCAGCCTAAGAAAAGGGCAGAGCCCAGGGAGAATGAGACGGCAAGACCTGGCCAAAACCAAGAGAGTCATGATGCATGGTGGTGAAAGTGGAAGGTTCGCTTTGGCCAGATCTCTTCTGATTAGTCACGTGTGCAGGGGACCTGGAAGCCAGGGACTGGGTTTATCCAGAATGGTAGTGCTGTTGAAGTCCCTGAGCAGGATCCAAGGCCTTGTGCATTCAGGGTCAGTCTAACTGGCATGTGTGCAGTGGGTTGCAATTAGGAGAGCCTGGGGTTGACTTTGGGGCTCATTGTGCCAGAGGTGGCGGGACTTTCAAGTGAAGGAAATATCCACCACGTGGTTTTGACTTGGAGAGAAGACAGGACTGAAGATGTAGAATTTACTGTCATTGGAATACAGGTGATCATTGAAGCAGTGAAGATGGGTTATGCTAATCTCATAAGGTATAGCATCACAGTTTGGGAGTTTGAGTTTTTTTTCTTTGTAATACTCAGGGGTAGGCAAATGGTTTACTAGCTGCAAAATTTCCAACTTTGACAAAACACCTTTTTTTTGGGAAACCTCCACTTAACTGCTGGAGAATACAATTTAAATATTTTTTCGTGTTTCTTTTGAAATTTGTTACCAGAGCGTTGGATAGGGGGCATCCTCCATTCTAGGGGTTGCTGACTCTGGGCCAAATCTGGCCACCACCTGTTTTTATAAATACGGACTACAGCCCCACTCTTTCCTTTCCAGTTGGCAGAGTGAAGTGATGTCGCAGAGACCATATGGCCTAGAAAGCCTGTCTGGCCCTTTACAGAAAGTATACTGACTCATGTTCTATACAGCTCCTTGTTTGGTTACTTTTTATCCCTCCTCTCCGCTTCCTTCAACAAAAGCACTTGCCGCAGCGCCCAGTTAGTTTCATTTGAGTCTGGCCCTTCACTTGTTTCCGGGAAGCTGTAAACTGAGTAGCTTTCTCATTTCCCCAGAAAGGGGCTGGAGCTCTCCTGGGGCTGGAGGCCTCCGCAGCCTGTGGACGTTGTGTTGAAGACCGTGTCACAGGATAAATAGCTACTTCTGCTTCAACAACCAAGTTCTTAATAAAATTTACAGAAGATTCTTAGAGGCCAATGACTAGGCAGGACTCTTTAGAAAGGACTCTTTGTCTAAAAAAGCAAGAATAAAAAGTGTAATAAACAAGTATTACCATGAAGCTCAAACTGTCTTCTGCCACACAGCACACTCAATTAAATCAACTAAACAAAATACAAGAAAAGTCGTAAAGCTATTAAGAATCACGTCATTATAATGGGCTCTATCTCAAACAGCAGACCATGCAACTTAATGCCAAAAAATGTAAAAGTATTAACGGAATTTTGTTCTAGTTGTTTTTGTTATATATGGATTTCACCTTTTCCTGGTGAAACTTAACATGTTTTAAACTGAAATAAATTTTATTTATTTCCTTATAGCCACGGTCTGAAAAAGTTCTTTTCTTGTCGTGGAATTGCAATTGCAGTTGAGTATTTTTGGAAACTTGGCAACAGAAACATCACTGTATTTGTCCCCCAGTGGAGAACAAGGCGTGATCCTAATGTCACAGGTGAGACAAACTGTTTTCCCCAGATTTCTAATTAGACATTTAATGAGTTGGCTTATAATTGAACTCACACTACTTAGAATAGAGCCATGTGTCATAGGCAGCAGCTTTAAAAAGAAAATTATAAATCCGTTGCACCCAGTAAAAAACATCAATTGAAGAGAGTTTTACAGCATAAGAAATAGTTGGGAGAAGGTTGGAAAGTTAACTGTTCATATAGAAAGTTATATTAGAGTTCATTATATATCACAAAAATTTTCTTTGACTTTCTAAAAAGTGGATTAAATATGTCTTTTCCTACGCTGAGTTTCTGCCTCTTTTAATAGTATTTTTGAAAATGATCCGTTGATAAATTTGGAACCCTCAAATAGAATGTGTTTTTCACAGTCTGTTTTGTTTAATAGCTTAATTTAAATTATTTCTGTTAATTGTATTGTACTGTATGGCTGACCCGCAGGCCACACACATAAGGTTTGAACTTACTCTGAACCACTAACTATTCCAGAGAAACTTAAGGTAGTTTGTTTCTTAGGTCATAGTAGGAAGACCAGTGAAGGGCTGTGCCAGGCAGCTTCTCAGGTCAGAGCACCTGGAAATGACGGCTAGACTGGGGGAAGGAAGAGGCAGGACAGGGCTCGCCTAACACGTTAAACAGGAAGTAAACTTAGTTACTGCTGAGGTGGAAATGGTAAAACCACACATTTCCCAAGGATCCCAGCTTCCCTCGTGGGTGAGCATACTTGTCCTACAAAGGCACCTAAGGAATGAGGCAGGTCCGCTCCCTTTGTAGCTATTTTTGTAATGGGATTCCGAAAGGGTCTTGTCAGCCGTACGCATTGTGCATTCCCAGGACAAGAAGACAGCGTGTGTGGGTGTTTCAGCTGAAGTCAGTGTTGACTGCCATTGGAGGGAATGCAGGTGTGGGAATCTCAAACCCTGAGCTTTTAGCACTTTCTTTGCCCATTACTGGTGGCTAAATGTGGCCATTACTGGTGGCCACTAAAATATGGCTTTGGCCCTCCTTTCTCCGCTGTCACAACCCACCCCCATGAAAATCAGTAACTATTTGTCAGATAACTCAGAGAGGTTGAGAGGACGCCAGCCAGAGGGAGATTTTAATGGACCCTTGGAATACGGACCAAGCAAGCCTTTCTTGGGATTGGGGCAGAGCAGGTTGTCCCTCCCACCGTGTCCACTTCTGTCACTCTTTTATTTATTTTTTTTTTTTTTGAGGAAGATTAGCCCTGAGCTGACTGCTGCCAATCCTCCTCTTTTTGCTGAGGAAGACTGGCCCTGAGCTAACATCCGTGCCCATCTTCCTCTACTTTATATGTGGGACGCCTACCACAGCATGGCTTGCCAAGCGGTGCCATGTCCGCACCCGGGATCTGAACTGGCGAGCCCCGGGGCCACCAAAGTGGAACGTGCGCACTTAACCACTGCGCCACCGGCTGCCCCATCCTGGCACTCTTCCCTGCTCCCCCCACCTCCCTCAGGGAGTCTTGTCGTTACTTTCTTTGTCTTCTACTGCTTGTGAGGCGGCTGTGAAAAAGTTCTTAATAGCATTCATTAAATATAGGGTTATGGTTTACTCGTCTTAATTTAAGAAGCAAATGAGCTGAACTTTTTTACATTTGAAAAGTAGCTAGGGGCCAGCCAGGTGGCTCAGCGGTTAAGTTCGCACATTCCTCTTCTGGGCCGCCTGGGTTTGCCGGTTCGGATCCCGGGTGTGGACACGGCACCGCTTGGCAAAAGCCATGCTGTGGTAGGCGTCCCACATATAAAGTAGAGGAAGATGGGCACAGATGTTAGCTCAGGGCCAGCCTTCCTCAGCAAAAAGAGGAGGATTGGCAGTAGATGTTAGCTCAGGGCTAATCTTCCTCAAAAAAAAAAAAAAAAACATAGCTAAAGTCAGTTTTTACATTGCCTTTACCTCGTATATCTCTTGCTTGATTTTTTTTTTTCCCTTCCCAGTGAGTTTGTAAAACTGAGTCTTCTTGAGTCAATAAAAAAAAGATTTCTCGCAACTCTCCAAGTGAGACATTTGGGGGTACTTTCATTTATTTAAACATCTGGGAAGATAGCCTTTTTCTGAATGTGTATTCGACTTTTTCCATGAACAGAACAGCACTTCTTAACCCAGCTCCAGGAGCTCGGAATATTATCTTTAACTCCTGCACGGATGGTCTTTGGAGAAAGAATTGCTTCTCATGACGACAGGTATGAAAGGCTGTTTTCCTTTCTGAGGTGGGTATGGGGTGGTGAGGAGCCGACTCCCCCTCCTCTGGACAGTTCTTCATGCATCTGGACCCACGCTCTTAAAGGACTCTCTTGATTCAAGGGTTTAGATTTGAATATTTATGGTCATTAAGGTTGTACACTCAAGACTTTGCTGTATGGGTTTAGAGAAATTAGCAAAAAACCTGTTGAGTTAGAACCTTTTTGTTTGTTTTTAATTAAAACGACTGAGAATCTATAAGTAAAAGCAGATATTGAGTTGTAGTTTTTTGGTGCATTCTGAGAGTAATGTTTGTCTTGTCTTAGCGTGGCAGCCCCAAGAGTGGTTTTCAAACACTGTCTGTCTCCTCCTGATTACTTTTGGCCAGTGACCTAGTCTGTCATTGTTGATGCCTGAGCTCTCAGTATTTCTTCCGCATAATAGAAGATGGTCTCAGCTGACCTTGGTGTGATAGGAATAAGCTGAATTTCTTAGGTTGGCATGTTGCTCAGAAAGCAGGTGCTAGTGCATCTGAGACAACAAGCTTTAATCTGTACCTTTTAAATTTTTTACTAAAACCTTTACTGAGCGCCAAACAAGTGCAGGGCGTAGAGCCAGGCTCTGGGAACACAGGTGATTCAGGCACACTTCCTGCCCTAAGGAGTTTTGATCTAGGGGAGAAGGCACACAAATAAGTAATAGAGGGTAGTTTTGCTGTGGTTGAATAAGAGAAGGTTCCAAGCATGACCAGTGGCATTAAAACTAATTTTCAGCCCTCCTCTTGTGGGATGAAGTCAGTAGTAGTGAGCCTACAAGTAAGTATCTGAGAACCTAAGTGGTGGCCGCTTGTCCTTCGCTCTCCTGCGTTCACCCTCTTGGTTTTATTCTGGCCTGTGAAACTTACAGCACCCTGGTGGTTTTGCCTCAGTGTTCCACCACAATGCTCCCTGACACTGAAGACAATGCTTAGCTTCTAACCCAAGCTAGTGAATGATGGATGGGTGAGAGATGAAAAGAGGGGCTTTCAGGGGCAGGGGACTTGTGATGACAGCAGACATTCTTTCAGTGAAAAGTGCCAAGGGCCTTCTCATTGACAGGCCCTTGCCCGTCACCAGGCTGGTGTGAGAGACTAGATCAGATGGGGAGAATCAGAGGTGACTTGAAAGAACAGCGAGAGGAAGGGAGAACAGCAGCGCTGGGCAGGGCCTGCGTGAGAAGGCGCTGGAGACTCGGGGGGAGGGGACCCTCTTGCTCCAGCTCTGGGTGGGGACCCGGGCGTGCTCAGGTGGATAGGCAGACTGGGCCTCTGGGTTCATGAGGCTCCTTCAGATCCTCTGACACTCTGGCTTCATTCTCGTATCAGCAGAATGTGAATGCACACACAAGTATGCAGACTAAGCTTTTGCCTAATTTATATGGCTGAGTTGTTAGCAGACATGAATATGTGTCCTGACTAGTGCATGCACTCTGAAGCCTTACTACCTATTTTTGTTAATACCTCTGGGTAGACATCACTACTTAAAGTTTATGCCAGTTAGAAATAATTTGTAAAATATTAATAAATCCAAAGTGCTAAATTATATTTACTTTCCAAGGTTTCTTAGGATCTCTGAAACTAATGGGGCTTGTTTTTTTAATCCCCTTAAGTACTCACTACTAGTAAACGTAGTTGTTTGCATCTTTAACTCCAGTGATTCTCTTAATTTATTGTTTTATCATCTTTGTCGACATTGCCTTAGACAAATGTGGTCATCCTGTGGGATAAAATTCACGTTATCCTCACAAATTTCTCATTAAGAGGGTTTGAACGTGAATAACCTTCAGCAGTGAAATAGAATTCTTGATATTTAATTCTTACCCTTTTTTGTCACCACATTTCTTTTCATAACTTGGATTGGAGTGAATCGAGAACTTGGGCTAAACAGAATGACAGTTCTAGATGTGAGTTCTTAAGGCAGAGCAGAAAATGTGAACCTGTGAATTACAAAGAGCCTGGCAGGGCTCACTGTGCCCAGCAGCTCGTCTTAGACCCGAGTCCTGTCGCTTAGCAACGGAAATTGAGCAGGTCCCACAGGCTGGCCACTCTCATTCATCCTATGCTCTATCCTCATGCGTTATCTCAGCCCCACTATTGATCATGCAGCTTCTCCAGAAAAATGTATAAATTATGGTTGAGATCATTGAAAAAAGAGTATAGGTCGTATGAAAACCAGACTTTCATCTATAATCATACTAGTAATTTCAGAAATATTCAACTTTTCAGATTGATCTTCAGTTGACAGGGGCTTAACGTTTCTGCCTGCGGGCCTCGGTTAAATTCTTGAGTGCTCTTTCCGTGGAGAGGCGACCCTTTTGTTTCCTGTGAGCCAGGGCTGCCTGCTCTCCCGTCTCAACCTCTCTCCCATCGCCGTAGGTTTCTACTGCACTTGGCGGACAAAACTGGTGGCATAATTGTAACAAATGATAACTTCAGAGAATTTGTGACCGAGTCGGTCTCTTGGAGAGAAATTATTACAAAAAGGTAGTGTTCTCTTCTTTGTCTTTGGTCAAAAATGTTTGTTGTTGTTGTCTATTTTCTGGTTTTGTTTGCACTTGTTTGTTTTGTTGACCTTGGAAGCAATATAGGGGCCAAAGTACCATAAGACTGTGCTCCCCGTCTGCAGGATGGCTGGCCCCTTCAGGTAAGCAGGGGGACCCAGCACAAAGCAGCAAAGCCAGCAGGTGACATGTGGGTGTACTGTGATGCCCACAGGTGTCTTCTGAGAGGTCAGTGTTCCCTGGCAGGAGGCAGGAGGCACCTCTTTGTGGCACAGTGAACTCTATTAACTGAGTAATGGAGCAGAAATGGCCTCCTAACTTGGCCTTGCCCTGATGCTGATGGAGACTTTGGTGGATCATCAGGCCTCCCTACTTTACTCAACTATGACATATGAAGGTTAGGTTAATAAAAAAAAAAATGACAGCCGTGATTCCAGTAAGAGGATAGGACCAAAATCAGTACGGTGATTGGGTTTTCACTTCTCGGGAGGGGCAAAGGTATTTCTGCGTCTTACATCCCGTGCCTTTCTTGAGCATTATACCATCATAGTTTAATCATCTATATTGAAAACATGTTTGAATATCATTCAAAATAACAGAGTAAAGTCAAGAGTTTAGCATTCACCACTGTAAGGTTTTATTTGTAATGAAACTCTGAGTGTGTCTAACTGCCTTAAAATCAGTGAACACGACGACTTCCAGGGCTGCTTGTTAACAAGCATCATCTGACCCGTTACTTAAAACCAAAAGCAGTAATCTGCGGAGGTGCCAGGGAGGAGTCATATGTGCCACAAATCTAAAACATAAGTGAGCATACCTCAAGGCTGTATGTAACTAGTATAACTAGTTTATAACTAGCATGACTAGATATTTCTCTCTGTTGCCCCTTGTCTGATATTTATATTTTACTAAGTCATTAGAGGATTTTAGAAAATGATTCTTTGCAGTAAATGCCCAAGGGAGAGTTCATTACCATGTGCTTTTGACCCGTATGCTGTTAAAAGCCGCTGTTGATAGCTGAGCTGAGAGTTGGTCTCTGACCTTCTGAACACAGTTAACAAGCCATTAATCTTCTAGGACATGTTTCTGTTGGCCCTTTGCCCTGGGCTCATTGTCAGTGTTTATTGGACACTCGTCTGTACACATGGAAGGTTTAAATGCAGTCAAGATTCAAGTTCATGTAGCAACCCATTGTTTTCAGAATTCACAAAACAAGGCAGAAACCGAGATCTGGACAACAAACACAGGCACTTGGACTTTTTCTTTTTTTCTTTTTTTTCCCCCTCTCACATTTTCCCCAGACTTGACGAATCGTGCTCACCTGACCTCAGATTTCCCTGCTTCATATAGCATATTATCTTTTTTAAAGGAATCTTCAGTGGGTTTGCCTATGGACACATTTATTTAAAAACTAAACCTTTAGTGAGCACCTGTTGTGTCCTAGGCTGACAGTCTTTGAATCTTGTTTTTCAAAGCTACACGTATCGAAAGTTGTATTAGGAGAAGAAGCTGCTTCCTAAACCCAGATAAAAGTCTTGATGAGAACTGTGAGAGCCAACCAATAAAAGTCTCTTACTCTATTGTGTTTGTGCTCAAAAGACAAGTTAAAATGGTTTCCCCTTTGGCCAGTTCAGCAGTCTTGTCATTTACAGGCAGTGCTGTGCTGGAATTGTGTGGACTTCTCCTCCGTTCTCTCCGGCGTTGTGATTGCTCTCTGTGTTGTAGGTTGCTGCAGTATACCTTTGTGGGGGACATATTTATGGTTCCTGATGATCCTCTGGGAAGAAGTGGACCTCGATTAGAAGAATTTCTTCGGAAGGAAGTCTTCCCTAGGTATTTCCTTTTTCAGATTGTCTTGTATTTACAAGTTTGTTTCAGTTAAGTTCTCAGTGCTTTAGTGCAAGTGCTATCTCTGAAGACTAAAAATGGCATTTTATTTTTTTAAAAAGCTTTGGATTTAGTGCTGCTAATCACACAAACACCCCAAAGACCAGATCTTCATTTGTGGTCCTTTGGTTTTAATCCTAGGAGAGGATGGGGAGCCAGACTTTCTGTAGGTCTAAAAAGACAAAGCAGAGTCTGCTGGTGGCCACTTACTGGGGAATGCCTCTCAGGCTCGTGCTGTGTATGAATATCTTTTTATGTCCATCTTCCGAAGTCATCTGCTTTGAGTATGTTATTCTTATCTTAATTTATTTGCTGTTCAGGAATCTCTGCCTGAGGAACTGGCTATTACTTTCTACCGCCCCTGAATGGAGAAGCCAGAATTGCATATTTATCTCAAATTAATTTGATAGTTTAGGGTTTTTTTTGTTGTAGTTTGGATTTTTTGTTTTTTTAAAGACACTTTGCTGGTGGCTGTTTCTGTTTTCAGAATTCTCTGGTAATGGACCTTGCTGTCCCGAGTGTCCCGTCTGCCTAGCTGGCAGGTCATGTGACCAGTGCAGACTTTTCCTCTTTTAAAATTAAGTTGTACTTATGTGCATTTCCAGCAGATGTTTGCCCAGGGGTGTGCTGAGTCTAAACTGAGAGGAAGATGCACAGCGCCTCCAGCTTTTTAAGGCAGTGAGACTTGATAGTTGATCTTTTCCATTTATAAGGGGGGTCCGTTGGGGGTTCTAGGTTTGGATTCTGGGGACGGTGAGTGGGCTTCACATGGAGGTATCTTCTGCAGAGGAGACCTGCACCACTTCAGCTCCCTGGTCTTGTGAATTGTTTCTCTTTTGGGCCTTTGGGGTTTACTACACAGATGAGAACTTAGTTCCCAAAGATCCTGCTTCTCTACCTACACCGAGAGAATGGCAACTATCTTTAACACCTGCTGGATGTCAGTATGTCTCATTTTTCTCCCAAACATCTTAGCTTGCAAGTCTTCTGCTAAGCTTGAGGACCTGAGGCCTGTGTGCAAGTATCAAGGCCCGTGGGTCAGACTTAATGGCAGGAGAGTTCGCCGGCTCCTTAAGCAGCCTGGCAGCAAGGTAGTCCTGCCTGCTCATCTAATGGTTCTTTACAAAGGTGTTAACTAATTGATTAAGAAGTTAATAGTAACCCTCCTCACAGAGGGACTGACTTTTGGAGTTTGTTGGGCTTTGGAAGTTGGGAGGTGTTCAGCCAGCCCCGTTCTCAGGTGCAAGCCAGAGTCCAGTAGGAAGCTCTTTCATGCTACAGATGCCCTAGACACACACTCACACCCATGTGCATACAAGCTGTGGGTGCCACTGCCTTACCCAGACTTTGTGGGGGACATGTGAATCGGTGGGGGCTGCCTGTCTGCTCAAAAGGGTTCCCTTTTTCTAAGCCCTGTCAACCAGGGGTCCACATAGAATCAGAATCTCCTAAAGAGTAGGACCCTGTTATCCATAGCTTTTGAAAGCTCCCAGGTGATTCTGGCATACCCTGGGTTAGAACCAAACAGCTGGCTGGGATCAGTGCTCATAGCAGCAGAGCTCACGGTAGGGGGTGGAATAGTCCGTGAAGAGCTGTCACTCCCTGTCAGCACCAGTCTGGAGACGCTGTCAATGGCGTCCCCCTGGTCCCCTGTAGGCAGCTGCCATCCCTACCTTCACTGTAGTCTTATATCGTGCCTTCAGAGGCCAGGAAACAGTGTCTTGAGCCTTGAATTAGCAGCAGATATTTTAAAAAGGTTTCCCTTTTCATTTATAACCCAACTCACCAGGACTCATTTCTGTTCACAGAGACATGCAGCCCCTACTCAACGCCCTGCCAAATGTGGGCGTGTTTGACCCCAGCTTCCGAGCGCCTGGTGCCCAGGCAGCCGGCACCAGCCACCAGCCTCCGGCCCGGATTCAGGGCACACCACCCAGCCACTGGCTTCCCCAGCAGCCCCGCTTCCCACTTCTGTCCAGCCTTGCCGGT